CTCATTTTTTAATTAAGAAAGAAAAATTATGGATGTGAACTACACTCTCTTAGTTTCTCTAATTTTGGGGAATGAGGGGCGCGTGCAAATGTGTCTTGGCACACCTAGCTAGGTGTGCCAAGGCACACGGTAGTGCTACTGGTTCAGTGTAGTGAACGCATAAGTGGGTCCCCCCATTTAACGGATGCAGCTATGAACGCGGGGGACGTTTAAACGCTAAGAATTAATGGACCGTTGCTGATGCTCTTATTAGGACTTGTAAAGACTTTACTAACTCAAATTATATTTTAATAGTTAATTATTTTAGTTTATTATTAATTTTTTATATATAATAAATCAAAAATTAATTATCTTTTGACAAACTTTGATTTGACATTCATATTCATATATAAAAATAAACAAATAAATTTATTTATCTTTATTAAAAATTAAATTATCTATTAATGCTAATTGAAAAATATTATATATATATATATATTTAAAAATTGTATATAAATCGAGTTAGAAAATTTAAATATAATATAAAATGGGTAAATTGTATGAGTGAAGAATGAGACTTTAAATATAAATAATAAGCTTTTTTCAAAATATTTAAAATTTGGTAAATAGCAATTTCAGTACTAGACTAATGGATAATTTCAATGTTATTACCACACATTTACAGTATATCAATTTTAGTGCCCTAAATATGTGATGAGAACCGAGTAATAGAGCGAACCGCATGAGGATAACGGGCCAAAATACCGCAGCAGGAGCAGGCTTCGCACAACGAGGCTTGTCGCGCCGCGACGACCGCCGCGAGTGGAGAGAGACCGCAGGTGGAGGCATGAACCTGGACAAAGACATGTTATTTTGCAGCAATTAATTTCAGTTTCCATTCAAATTCTTAGGGTGTTTTGCATGATGATTTTGCATGTTAGTTTCATGCAGTTTGTGTTAGTCTTAGCTTTTATTTTTAAATCACTACAAGAAAATGATGAAATTTCAATGAAAGTTTATTCTAATAAAATTATTTCAATGGCAATACATTATTTCCGTTAGAATTTTTTAATGGATTCCAACAAAAATTCCAACAAAAATATTCTGTTTGAATGAGTTTTCTATAGGAATTTTTGTTGGATTTTGACGATTCCAACGTTGGATTTTCCAAAGGGGTTGGAAATAAAAATTTCAACGGAAATTGCATATTCCAACGGAAATTCTTACAGTAAAATGTTGTTGGAATCATCAAATTCCATCTAAAATTTCAATTAAAAACACATTCCAACGGAATATTTCCGCTGGAATTTCCATTGAAATATATTAATATAAAATTTTCCGTTGGAGTATAACAATTTTTTTCTAGTGAATTTTAAAATCAATAGATTAATTAGTTATGAAATTTTAAAAACCCGCGTGTTAGTATTAGAGAGTGGGGTTTGTTCTTAAAAGACTCTTGTACTCTCATTTGAATTATTATGAAATAAGAAATAACAAAAAGGCTTGTTTCCGAGCAAAATCTTTGTGTAAATCGACGGCTATTTAGCACGGGTTTTCACATTTTCTTGTGTTTAAACCAATGCCGTTAGCGCGAGTTCTTACACAAAACCGAGTCTCGATACTCGATCTTCATCACTATAGAACAACGCAGGAATTTCACGCAGTATATCAATTTTAATGCTCTAACTATGAAACAACTCACGAATTTCACGCGAATTTCATACTCGTCCGTCAGTTTCCCGTTAAAACTAACATAATTTTTTTAAAAAAAATATATATACATTTTATTAAAAACTAATAATAAAAGAAAAGGAAAATAAGAACACTGGCAAATATTTTCAAAACAAGAAATTATTTGAAAAAAAAAATCACTGTTTTTCGAAACGAAAAAAATTTATAGATAAAAAAAACAAAGATACAACTAGTCAATTAGAATAAGTCAAACAGTTATCTAGCTGAATCTAGCAAGAGACTACCCGACGACGGGAGTCTAAAGAGACCAATAGACGCACCTAGAAGAACACACAAACTAATAAACTAAAGTTTCCCAACAAGGGAGAATCTAGCTCCTACGAGAGGAGAACTAGCTGCAAAACAAGAAAAATAAACACAACAAAACAAAACTACAACCAACCAACAGCAACACAATACTGTTACAATTAATTAGAATAACACCCTCCTCTCCACAGTAGAACAAATCACAACACACCACGACCGACACCCAGAGAGAATCGCCCACTCAGATAGGACTCAAATTACCTATCTAGCTAATCTGATTGTTGTTGCGTCAAAAATTGATTCTCTTCAGAAGCCCTATTTCCTCAATCTCCCTCCCAGAAAACAGATCTTCTCGCGCCGTCGCCTTCTCCTCGCAGGGCCTTCTGCAAGGGCCGGGGTCGTTCGTCGCTAACTATGTCGCTCGCCACTCTCAGAGTCGTGGACTCTTGTTAGTAGTATTTTTGGACATGTGATAACCGAGCTACCCGACTCGGGTCATTCTCAAAGGAAGGCTATTCGGACACGGATTCAAACAACGATCGACTCACACAAGAAAATAAAATAAAATTCCTTAACACTCTACTCGCATGATTTGGAGTTCGGATTAAGCTAAGAACGCAATTTAAGCAAAAACGAAAGCAAGATTCAAACTTTATCGCAAGCAACACCTCAAATTGCAAGAAAAAGGAAAATAAAAAGAGAAATAACAAGGTACTCCTAGACCCGAGATGGAAAGAAGGCCCTCATAGGTTCGGGAACATGCAACCAAGCAATGTAGTCACTCGTGATCAATTAATCTCTCAATCAATTCTCGGTCACGCAATCAATAACAATATCACATAATCCCTAGCCTACGAGGATGATAGCATAATTGACTCATGGATGTGCATATCTTAACCCTAGAATAACTCAATAAGTAAAGACAAGCAAGACTAACGAAATCATGAACCTTAAGCGAAGTCTCACGTCTCTAATGCATCCACGAGAAGAAATAAGCCAAAAAGTTGTAATCTTGATGGAGAAATATTATACTTAAAAATAGGGTCTTGGAGCCCTTAGAGAGAGAAAGAAAACTAGAGAGAGAAGAGAGCAAAAAAACTAAAAAGGAAAATTTAGC